TTTAAAACGTAGCCTCCTAGAACTAGCCAATATCAAACATTCAACACATCAGCTAGATGTCCCCTGGTGCTGAACAACTCAGATCAACAAGCTGTGACTTCGCCATTCTCCATCTCATGCCAAAGGCAAATAAACTTTTCCCCCCTCTGAGCTCTTGGGCCCTTAATGATAGCACTGTGTAAATGCCTGCTGTGCTAAACTAATGGAGAAAAGTAGAAAGGAGCATACTGAGAGCAAGATGATGAAATGGCATGCGAAGTAGAGTGGCTGTAGTTCAGAATGCTATAGTTATCTTTGGGACTGAAAGCTGAGTAGCTGAACTTTTCTGATCAAAAGAGATCTGAATGGAGCCACTCCTCTTTTAATTTTGATGCCATATGTTACCTGTGGTAAACCAGATCAACTTTTAAAGCTCACATCCACCTACAAAGGATGCTAGGGCAAAGATGCTTGACATTCAAGTGGACTTGAAGGTATGTGTCAAAGTATTGTAAATTTTATAGGCCTGAACAGGTCCAGACTGTAGTATTGATGAACTGCCATAATGATCACCTGTGTAAACTGCTGAGTCACAGTGACTAAGAAGAAGAAGAAGCAACATCTGGGGATGATGCAACACCCATGTAAAGGAAGATGATGCAACCCTTGAAGTGATTGGACAGAAACATCAGTTCAACTGTATATAAGGGAACATTGTGAACATGAATGTATCTCCTTCTTTCCTCTATGCTACTATCCTCTATGTACTGTGCCTCTATTTTTGCTGCCACGCCGAAGGTCTGCTGCTTTGTATATTTATATTATTTTTGTTAATACACGTGTCTTTTTGTTGAAGAAGAGAGTGTGTTTTTTTTCCTTCAATCAGAGAACTCTGCACATTAAACAGAAGAAGCTGACAGTATGGCTGTCATTTGAGACCAGAAACCCTACCAAGGGGTTCACCTGTTCACACATAAGGCACAATAGGGTACATAAATTAAACAAATTAATTAAAGTTTGTTTTTTAAAAAATTGCTGGGCTGCCCTCTCACTAAAAAGAGTGAAGCAGTTGCTTCAGGCATTTGATGATCATAAAGAACAAATTCTTGGCTCCGATTCCTGCCATTCTGAATGAATTTGAATTCAGTGGTGCTCATGAAAAGGCTTTATTTCAAAGAGTCATCACACCTTCTCATGGAAACACCATGGAGAATCAGCAAGGTCTAAATGGTTAAGTCTGAAGCGAGAATTGGCGTTCTGAAGATGGTGTCCCTGAAGGTTATTTGTGCCATGGATACTGAACCAGTCTCCTTTAGGACCCATTTAGTTTTGAGGTTACTTGAAGAACCAGATCATTCTATGTTAGTAAGCCAGTTAATGTTCCGTTGAGCTGGCCACCTGCTCTATGTATAGGAAATGAAGTAATAGGAGCCTCATGGTGCAGTGGCTAAACTGCAGTACTGCAGCCAAGACTCTGCTCAAGATCCGAGTTCGAACCCAATGCATTTATGTAGCTAGCTCAAGGCTGACCCAGCCTTCCAAGGTTGGTAAATTGAGTACCCAGCTCACTGAGGGAAAGGGGCAACATGTAGCCTGCATACAGTAATTATGCTATAAACTGCCCAGAGAGTGCTTTAAGCACTATGGGGCAGTATATAAGTAGCATACTTTGCTTGTGCTTTAATAAACCTTTTGTTAACACCAACCTTTCACCTTGTTTCATAATAAAAATACTTGAAGCTACCAACTCTTGACTGAAATCCTATTGCTTAGTATAGTAATCAATAGAACTTACTGAGTTGACTCACCAAACTCCTGCTGATTCAATGGGCCTACTCTAGTTGCATCTTACTTTGTAAACAACAGGATCTCAGCCCTTCTGATTTAGCAATGCACAGGAATTGCTTATAATAAACAAAATAATCTATGCACATCAGAATTCTCACTCAAATTTTAAAGATAACTATAGGAATGGGGGGTGACTGCTGTGACTGATATATGCTGCCTATAAAAAGATGTGCAAAATATGTGCTAGATTCAATCTCATACTTGTGTTGACAGTTTTAAAAACCCACAATATTATAAACTGAATTTAGAACATGTTGGAAAAATGGCACAAACTTATAATGTATCATTTCTTAAGAGGTGGTTCAGGGATCAAATGAATCTGATCTCTGAAAAAAAATGTAAGCCAAAACCTATGTTTCAAATGACTAGTTAAATGCCAGGTAATGGTTAATACATTGCTGCTTTGCAAGCACCTTCAATAAAGTAGTATGAATAATTCAGGAAAATAGCTTTTTAAAAAGATTTCATTCAGTTGGTCATATCCAATAATTTGGAGACTTTTTTAAAAATTACACAAATAAAGAGTTCAGAAAGAATAGACAAGTCATTCAAATTATTGCTATATTTAGCAGCTTGTTAACATCACCAACATGCATATTTTCTGTGGCCTTATATTTAATACAAATATTTTAAAATACTAAATCTGAAAATGCTACCCATTTTAACAGCTGGCCTTTTAACCAAAATATAGACCTTTGGCATAATGTATGTTTTTATTGCATATAGCAAATGATATTTTCACAAGTGAAATCAAAGTATATTTTACAGTACAATGGTATACATGTCTGTTCATAGGCAAGTGACATTGCATTTCACAGCGCTTACTTTGAAGAAAATGGGTAGAGAATTATAGTTTTAAAGATTTCAGGCTGAAACCCAATACCCACGTCCCTGGAAGAGAGCCTCATTTAATGCCCTTGGATTTACTTATGAGTAAACACATACTTGATCACACAGTTCCTCCAAGAACTGACTCTGGCTGATATATACTAGTCTGAGCAAAGCATAAACCTGTCAATTTGATCTTTCAGTTTATAGAGGGGAAATGTAAAACCTCTTAAAAATATACTAAATACAGATCAAGCTACTAAAACTACATTTATGCTACCTTGTCAGATGCATTATAAAATATAATTATATTCTTAGTCATAATATTGTTTAAGTAAGGCAAGTTTTCTTTTTGTAAGAATGTAACTGGCGCAAATCCATATACTGTACGATTAAAATTGGGTCGTTTGGCTACCCTTGTTTGTTCGGATTATCACTACCTGACAAAGCAATGCCAATATGCAACTAAGCATCCTTGAAGGATGGAATCACAGTGAAGGAAGCTGTGATACAAAATTTATTTGGCCATTCATGCCACATGATATCATAATAGAAGAACACTGATCACTTTACACAGTGGCTTGAGTAGCAAGAATGGTTTTGAGTGTAAACAAACACGACTTGAGTGCCTTGAGAACTTCATTCACTGGCTTGTTCAGACATAAGGAGGTGGTGCTTGTTGCTGCTGCTTTTAATACCACCACAAACATAAAAGTGAGCTACTAACAAACAAGACTATTTTTTTTAAAGATAAAACACCAATTCAGCAGACTGAATGCCAAGTTTCAAGTATGCATGAATGTATTTTAATTTGCCTGATGAGCTACATTAAAATTGTACAGGAATATTGTCCCTCAGGAAATAAGAGCTATTTTGGACACTCTGCCTAGTCTATAGAATAGGATAAATACTCAGCACTTCTGAAGGCATTGTTATCTATAGTGTTTCACTACACTGTACAATTGTAACTTACATCAACAAAAGTTTCAACTATCCCCCTCCCACCCCGGAGATGATTTAAAGAACTTATACAGGGCATTGTTGACCATGCTTGAGATTATAAGGACTACGACAGTGGCTCACTAAAAAGTCACAAGCTGGGAAATGTGTTCCTTTCGAATTTATGTAGCAGCTTATTTCCACACTGAACATCTCTCACCAAAGAAGGATCTCTAACAGAAGAATTTGAAAGGGAGACTTGGAGACACCTTGGGGTTAACTCTTCTACTGAACTGAATTAAACATTGCCGTTTTGGCATTCCCCCCCACATGGCTTCTCTCTCTACCTAAAAGAGCATAGCCATTGGTAAGAAGGCAATGATCTGTGAGATATGACTAGAAGTTGCTAATTCCTGTGTTTCTCCAACATGAAGTGCCATCTTCATTGGTGCAAGATATTCAAATATTTCCATTATCTGCTGGGCATTCATAGCAAAGAGGGCACGAGGGAAAGTTGTGTGAATACCCCAGATCTCAAAACAAGCAAGAACTGTAGTAGCTCTTCAGCATATTGAAAAGTAGATGTCGGGGGTGCAGAAGGGCTGCTCCTGGAAAGAGATACAATTACCCATTGACTTCACCATTTCTCACCAGCGGGGCACAAAAGGCCTTTTATCCTTTGTGATTTCAGTGTCAATCACCTGTTTCCTCACACATGGACAGAGCTCTAAAAAATGTAATAGATCACAGTTCCAAGTCTCACGGAGGAGTTTGTCACTCTGCTATGGGTTTTAAAAAGTAACTCTTTACTTTGTTATTACTCCAAAGTAGCCAGTATAGTTAATTGTTAATTTTTTAAAAGACAGAATTCTGATTATCTGAGGTACAAAATACACCTATCTAGTGAGGTCACACAACTTTTTAACTATAAAACTAACAGTTGCTCCTTTAAAAAGTGAAGGCATCCTTTGTTGTATTGCAATTGCAATATTATAAGTTATGCCTTTATTTGGGGTGGAAAAGGAAATACAGTGGTGCCTCGCTAGATGATAATCCGTGCCACTGAAATCACTGTTTAGTGAAATCATTGTCTAGCGAAAAGCATTTCCCCATTGGAATGCATTGAAACCTGTTTAATGTGTTCCAATGGGGAAGAATCGTCGTTGTCTAGCGAAGATCAGCCATAGGAAAGCTGCTTTGCGAACCGCCGATAAGCTGTTTAAATTGCTGTCTTGCGAAGCTTAGGTCCCGAAAACCACTGTTTTGCGAGCGCGGAGGAAGCTGTCAACATCGTCGTCTAGTGAAAATCGGTTTGCGAAGCAAGGACCAAACATTGTCCAGCGAAATTCCACCATACGAATCACTGTTTTGCAAATCGCTATAGCGATCGCAAAAAGTCAATGTCTAGCGAAAAAACTGTGATGCAGGGTAACTGTCTAGTGAGGCACCACTGTAATTTATTATTTGCAAGTAGCTACATCCAAGCTCTGAAGATGCCTGAAACAGTATGTGTGTGTGTGTGTGTGTATGTATGTGTGTGTATGTGTGTGTTATCACTTACCTCTCCTCAGGATGTATGTATCTCTATAATTTGAAGCTCTTTAGTTTGTCATTCTGTAGTTTATTGATGCATATATCATATGAAAATTTACAGGTATCCCCTTGGTTTTATTGGTATACCTATTTCTTGAATTAATAGTTACAAATATGTATGAGATCCACTTGTTCATTTTAGAAAAAGCCACTTTTAGTGGGGTATGCTGCTACCAGAATCTTGCTTTACAAAATTAGATAACAGTTGGGGATGATCAGGTTGGTGATTTTATTTTAAATTTAAATCCATATAACGTGTCTCAACTAGCTTCAACCCATTTCTATTACTGTTCTAAATTAAATGAAACATTGTCGACTATTTGTTCTGTAATTCTATAACAGTCTATAAATGCAATCCTTTATCTACTTATCTAGGAGTAAGCCCCACTGATTTTAGTGAGCCTTACTTCTGAGAAGGTAGAACTAGGATTGCATTGTAAGTTTGAAGTTCTACCAGTGAGTCACTGGGTGTTACCCAAAGAAAAGCATTTTAGTCTCATTGAGTTCTGTGAGAGAGATTTGACTCAATGCTCAACTATTCTACTGCCATCAATAGGACATAGGTATTTTACTTTGGTTGGATCATGCCCACTGTATGCAACCAAATATGTAGTGCAATAGGAGGATCTTACTGTAAAAACTGCTTTGGCTCAAAAATACTGTGCACATAACCTCATCTGAGTGCATTTTGTACATCTGAGGATCTCGGTGTTCCACTGTAGAACATGAACCATGTGGCTAAAAAACAGACATAGCCTTTGAATGTCACACACCAGCGTGCATTTCAATTGTCAGCAACAAGGTTTCTTTCTTTCTTTCTTTCCTGTTACACTGAGTCAACCTTCACTAAATTGTTGTTTGTGATCAAGGGTGAGGGTTTGCTTTTCATCCTGTCGACTGCATCATTAGAGCTGTCCTGGAAGAAAACTCTTGCTGTACAAATTGTCACAATAATTCGTTTGTATTCTCGTCTGAAATTCTGGTTCAGAAGTCCATATATGATAGCATTAAGGCAACTGTTGAAGTATGCCATGTAGTAGCTAAAAACAAACAGCCATTCAGGAATCCTGGGTGTTATTGTTTCTGGGTCAACAGCCACCGCAAGGCCTATCAAGTTCAAAGGTGCCCAGCAGACGGCAAAGAGTACAAAGACCACAAACATGGTAATAAAGTTCCTAAGGTCGTGCGGCTTTAGTTTGGGTTTGTTGTCAGGTTTGACCCTCCTCCGCACCTGAATGACAAGGATCCATATCCTCAAGTAGCAAAATGTAACAATGGCGATAGGGAGCATGAAATGGAAAAACACAACTGCAATTGTATAGGCAGAGCTCACAGACTGGGAGAAGGTACAAGAGTAGATCCTGGCATCGTACTGAAGGGATCCAACGAAAAGATTTGGCACAATGGCAACAAATGTCAAGACCCAGATAAGGACGACGTAGAACAACGCATTCTTATCACTGTAGAACTTGTCATACTTGAGGCTGTGGCAGATGTAGCAGTATCGGTTAATAGCGATGCCCGTAATGTTGAAGATGGACCCAATAACACTCAGGCCCATCAGAAACCCACTGATTTGACAGTGGACATAGCCCAGGTTCCAGCCATTGTGAAAGAGAGATGTCAGGACCAGAGGATACGGGTAGATGGCCACGACCAGGTCAGCAACAGCTAGACTGACAACAAAGACATTTCCTGGAAAATAAACAGAGAGATTGATAAATTAACTAAAGCTATATCCCAGCTGAACATCAATCATACTGATCTGTCACACAGCTTTTGCACATGGCAGAAATAGCATCCTGTCAATACAGAATGAGGTGTTAAGATTTCAAGATGATACTGTGGTCTATACTATTTAAGAGTGATGTTATGGATGTGAGGGGATTGTGGTAATACTGCCTTATAAACAGATAACTAGCTTTCTCCCTGATATGCTCATTTTCTGTCTGCAGTAGACTTCTTTTGCTTGGTGATGGTCATATTTAGATAGGAGGTCATTTTTGGAATAAAATCTAAACCACTAGCAATAACAGTCTGGTAGTCTTTTTTACAACTTCAATCCATTACTTTTGCAGATCCAGTCATATATGCCCACCTCCTAAAAAATATAGATTTTCATATGAGCGGGAAGACCTTGTAGGACATCCAGTTAATTCTCATTTCACAAAGGCAACAAAGAGCCAGAAAATCCTTAAAATACCACTCTTATTAATTTATTTGTAAGTAGAGATGGGCACAAACTGCAAAACCAGTGATTTGTGCTGGTTCGTCCTTCAGCTGAACAGGTGTTCATTGCATCCCAGCCCTGCCTCCTCTGGTTAGCACCCACTCAGAGGTAGCACCCTGGCTTCCCTGCCCCACCTCCTCTGGGCGCTTCCTCTGAGTGAGCAGCTGCTGGATGAGGCGGGGCTGGGAAGTTCTGAACACCTCTTTGACTGAACTAGCATAAACTGCTGGTTTGGCGATTTGTGCCCATCTCTCTCTCTCCCTCCCTCTCCCTCTCCCCCCCTCTCTATATAAATGACCATATATTTATTGTATTTATTTTTAAAATTAGTATCCCACTCTTCCACCCAAGAGTGCCTTAATAATAATAAACCTGCCTCCTATTAAGTTGCCTTAATAATCCAACTGAACATTTCTCCAAAAAACAAAAAAACACCAAACATTAATATTAGTACATTCACAGCCAGTTTTATTTCCTCTGTGGCTTCTCTTGAAATATGAAAACAAGCAGGATTATTGGTACACTTCAAGATCTGTGTATACATATTACATCTATAGTAATATGTCATATTATGTTGATGAGACAAACTTTTTTCATGTGAAATTCATTTTTCATTTACCACCAAAATTCTAGATGCTCAATTGTTTTAAAGCATTATTCATGGTCCCTAAACTTTTTTGCAGAACCCCTCATGCTGGCTTCTGTGCGTGCAAGGCTTCCTAAAGCCATCATGAACAAACCTATGTCTGCCTCTCTCTAAATGCAAAAAAAAAATAGAACGCTACTTGACAGGAAGGGGTGGGGGGGAAAAGACACCTAAGAGTAGCGACCTAAACATAAATTTACAGAAGACTAGAAGGGGCAGCTGGCCGGATAGTTTAGTGAGTTTGGTATCTGGCTATGGAGCCAGAGGTTGAAAGTTCAAATGCTCATTCTACATCCCTGAAGAGCCAGCCTGTGTGGCCTTGGGTAAGCAGGACAGCCCCAGGATACCCCCAGAAGTAGGGAATAGAAAACCGCTTATTTGTGCTCCCTACCTAGAAAACCCTGAAAAGGGTCACCATAAATCTGAATTGACTTGACAGCACTCGATAGTAGTAATAATCAGGGAATACGCATTTCAGCCCATCTAACAATCTGTGTTTCCCACCACCTCACATGTGTAGATCACATGATAGATATCTTAGTGCTCAATTTCCAACATAGAATCTGAATCCAGTCCTCTGAAGGTCTCCAAACACCAGTCTCCTCTTCCTCACAATGCCACTGTTCGGTGTTTTCTCTAGTTTTCATGTACTTCTCCCAGTCACTTTTCCTCCCAGCTTAAGAGGCCAAAATACTTCTCCCAAGAGTCAGCTGACTGACAACCACAGCTTTTAAGCTAAGTGTTGCTAGTACTTTTTATCCCCATTTTTGACCCACCCCACACTGTAATACAGCAATATAAGTTCCCAGCTATGGGTCTAGTTGCACATAGTCTGTGTGTAATCTGCTCTGCACATTCAGATGCTCATTCATCTAAAATCAATGCAATACAGCTAAGACAGCAGCAGCTGCAAAACCAGTAGGTATACACAGTCACCTGCACCACCTGGCTCAGCTAGTCATGCTTTAACTCTGCATGACTAAAGCTTGATCAAGGTACCTGCCTTTAGCTTAGCCTCTGAACTGGCACAGCAAACAACCATGGACAGAAGACCAGAACACTGCATGAACTCCGATGACTCTTAGCGAACTTTATTCTTTTCACGCTTGATACGATCTCCTTCTGATGTGAAATCTCTATTTTAGAATCCAGGTTCTATATATAAACCTGATGTGAAGTTGCAAAGAGAAAGAAAGAAAAATTCATCTGCATATTAAATTTTAATTATGTGACAAGGGCCTATGGGATTTACTCCTGATTAGCAAATTACATCTGGTACTGCAGGTGGTCATGCAAGAGAATGTGAATGGCTTCAAACCAAAGTGTACATTTCAGGAGCACGCACGTGTGCTGCAACATCTCCTCTCATCTAAAAATAGGTCTCACTCTCTACATTATTTAGCAATTTTTACAAGGCTCTATTTTTGTAACGCAGGCAGGAGAGCTCTACTCTGTGGTAGAAGCTGTCACGTTAGTCCACAGACTTAGCCAAGTGACTGCGTGGAGCCGCTACTAATGGGCCATGCTATAAAAGCTCAATGTGACCCAGATGGAATAGAGACTAAGGTAATATCTCCCAAAACCCACCTTCAAGGCTGTAAAGTTATAGCTGGCTCTCAAAGCTGGGCCATTAAGCCAGGAAAGCCCCCTCCATCTGGTGGGAAGAGATCCACTTTCAGAATGATTCTTATGTGGTGTTTGGACTAGACAACGTATGGAGTACTCATTCCATACCCAAACACTGCTCGTACAGATTGAGACTGACCCACTCAATGCCATTTAAGGTACATTTCAGCAGGCTCTGTCCAGAGTCTGTGACATGATCAACAAAACAAAACCAAACCAAACAACTGTAGGGAATGCAAAAAGCATTTTGACCTGATGGAGGACATGCTGCGCTACGGATTAAATGGTCTATTTGCTGCAAATATTTTCAGAATTATGCTGTGCAAATTATGCTTTACCCATGTTTACTCTTAACATTGAGGTAAATCAGTAGTGAAACCAAAAACTTTTGGCTCTATGGGAACTAAATCCATGATTTTGGGAGTTTGATTTCCTGCTGTGATTCTGGGGACAAGAGCTAACCTGTGTTGCTTTGGGCAAACAGCAGAGCCCCAGGTCACCCACAGAAGAAGCAAATGGTAAACTACTTCAGAATATACCTAGGAAACCCTGGTAAGGGTCACCATCCATCAGAATCAACTTGATGGCATGTAAGTAAGTAACAGTCATTGACAATATTCCCTTTAAATAAATTATTGAATTTCATAAATACACTAGTGTTTTTTTTAATGGTCTATCTTATTTTTTTTTCTAATCAGGCTTTCAAACAGATTCCTGAACTGACTGAACAAGTGGCAGTTGGTGAACATTACATGCAGAATGAATCAACAGATGACACTTGGTTTTTTAAGAAAGAGGGAGATCTTCAGCAGAGATGGAATATGGCAGATGTTCTCTCAAGTAAAAAAGGACAGATACTGTACAATCAGGCAGATGTTTGGTTTTAGGGAACCTTGCTAAAGTTTGATCTAGTGCAATGACAGGAATAAATATGCAAAAGCAAAGGAAGTTGATGACAGAAGTTATGGGAAATTTTCTTATAGCATAAGGGAAAACATCAAATACATTATTTTCTCTTTTTGTTGCAAAGACCCGATAAGTAGTGGCAATTTGGCTAACTTTCACCTTTTCCACAAAAGAACAACATTTGATAGTAGTAGTAATAGTAGTAGTAGTCGCCGTAGTCGTAGTCGTAGTCGTAAT